TTTTTATTTATTGTAAATTCTTTCTTTCTTTCTTTTTCGCTATTTATATTAACATGTGTGATGAACAAAACTATAATTATTGTACTTGATATACAACACGTACACGTATCTTAAAATAATAACAATTGATACTAATTCGACTTAAAAATCTGTCTATATCAAAGGAAAAAGATAATGCATCCTAAAAATGATAACTATTGATATAACTTGATATATATAATATTCGAGATGCAATTCAAGTCGTTACATCACGTCATGTATATGTCATGTATACGAAGAAAAGTGATAAAGATATATATTTATGAGGGTTCGAATATCAAATCCATGCCTTTATTATTGCCACAAGTAGGAAAATTGATTGGTACAAGCGGCAAATTTTGCTGCAGACCTACTCTCATTACGAATTGCATTCCAGGCCCAAGTAGTGGAGGATATATAGCAGTACTCCTCGCTTCCCATAGCCAATATCCTGATGAGCATTCGTGATTAAATTAGATTCAATATAGATCTATCTCTATTCATGATTCTATCGTGTTTAACACTTAAAGTAGTTTTACCTAAATTGTCGGTGTAGAAACGAAGAATGACATAGCCCTTGTTCGGTACGACAAAAGTATCTTTTCGTACTGGATTCACGAAATTTCGATATATTTTGCCATTAAGATCCAAGGATACAACATCATTTTTGGTAATAGGCTGCTCAAAACTCTCTCGGCTGATGACACTGGCATTGTAACCATGTAAATGAAACGTATAAGATACATTGCCTCCGAAACCTAGGAAAGATACAATTTCTATATATATTGACTTTACTAATTTTAATATATTATTTTTATAAACACCAGCATTTAAATTTCTCTTCAGATACCCGTATCGCACGTCAATATAATATTAATTTTAATTATATAATTTTATTAATTTTTGTTTTAAAATAACATCGAGATGATATTCTGAGATGATTACATGCGCGATATAGTTTATATTACCTTCGTTTATTAATACAATTTCGATTGTTTTTCGCGGTAGAACTTGGAGTAATTGCAGACACTCGCAAAATAATGGTGTATCGTCACATTCGTCAGAACGTTTATTGAGGGAGCAAATCGATTTCTCCAAGATATTTTCTGGTTGCGATAGTATCGGAGATGATGGATACTTGAAAGACATACCATTGATCTGCGGTATTCTTATCGCACCTTCTTTTAAACCTGAAATTTTCTTTAATACATAATAACAACAAAAATATTATCTTAAAAAGAATATATAATCATAGAAAGAATATGTTTCATTATGCGCGCAATATATGTGCAACACACATCTGCACAGGATAGAATTATATTTTTAAAATATTTTCTTTTATCTCTCCTTGCATTTAACAATCTAAAGTATCATTGAACTGATCGTCAAACAAACGTCTAATAAATACGAAAATATTGTAATGATAAAAGTTTTCTTACTTAAGTAAGATGGATAATATCTCGACGTGTAAAGGCTGTAAGAATCGTCCGTCATTTCGTCTGTAAACAACGAAAAAGTATTTGTGTCGAAAGGTACGTAGATCGTTTCGTCGGCTTTTTCTTCAAATTGTGATAATTTTGTACTCTTCAGGTCTAAAGAACAAATAACATTTTTCGATATCCTATGACAACGATGACCACTCTCAGCGATTTCGAATGCCTGTTCGTCCAAGCTGTCAGCGATAGATCTCATCGTGTACGAATCAGGTGCGGCATTTTCATAAAGAAGATATGCCTCCTGACGCAAATTACGACAATCCCGAAGACCCTGAATATCGAAGGCGTACCTGCCAACTGCCTGCTTCGCCAATAAAATACCGTCGAGTCTTTCGCCTAAAAACAAATCCAACATTATAATTGACATAGCTCATCGCATTTTATTTCATGTAAAGTATGATTCTTTGATGGATAGAAAATTAATTAATAATCATTTCATTGAATATAATCAATTACAAATAATCTTATCGTAATAAAAATCTAAAAAATAAAGGAATCACATTAACAGCGACGATAAACTTAACGCTACAATTTTTATTGAACAAAATGTACAAATCTCAATACACATATGTATACGTACATATACATACATATGTAATATAACGTAAAAACTTATCCAAAAAAATATATTTAAATAATTGCAAAAGTTATCAACATTTTTTCAAGAAAGGAAACACTCGATCGCATCAACGTACATGTAACTCATTAGCATCGCTGTAAACAGGATTGTACAAGACTGCACAAATCGACTAATAATAATAATCACATTAAATTTACAGTAATAAATAAACTCAAAACTGCAGTTTATCTGATTAATTGTACTCTTTCGCTTTCTCTTTTCAAAAACTCTATTTAAATGTCAACAACCTACTCGCTCTTGGTTAATACATTTTCGCTAACACTAATTTTCGAAGAAAGTTAACCGACAGACGCTACGTGAGCATTCATTTCGTGCCAGGCAAGCGTTTCAAGATTAATAGAGAGACACGTTATGTCGTTTGTCGGGACTTGATATATTTGAAATAATGAAATATCGAATATTACGAAGACGTACGTTTAATTTTCACTAGGGTATAATAATTTATTTTGATATTTATTAGATGTAAGAGATTGGAGCAAAATTCCATCGGAGAGGGAAATCATGTATTGTGTTGTGAGTTAATATGAATCTGTAATTACCGCTTTGATATCAGATATCTTTGACTCAATTATCATGGACCTTTAAAATCTTAATGCTAAAGAAGAGTAATTATATATTGATTGATTTACATCAAGTTATCGACAATTATTAAGTATCTCATGTCTTTAGGAAATTGAAACAGTCGTGTTGCATGTGTATGTCGCATGTGTCGTACACGTGCGCACAATATTGTACCATCACGGTGATTACAAACAAAAATATTGCATCTCCATTCACATTCATATCTCATTGTTACCAGCGTTTCAAAACATTTTTCAAAAGCTGGAAAAATACAAAAGAACCCTTATTTACTCTGTTGATTAATATCTGGATTATCTATATTTGTCTTACATTATCGCGCTGCAACAAAAATGATGCCAAGAATCACAGGGAATAACATCACAGAAAGTTAAATTACTTCAAATAGTCAACAACGTGTTGGTCAAATTGTCCGATTGAAAATAACGATAATGATAACGATGACGTGATTAATATTTTAATTTAATTTAATATTTATAACTTTTCTATATTTACAGCTTTTTCCATAAAACGTGCATACGTATAATAACCCAAGTCAACTAAGAGTCAACTAAAGATTGACGTTGCCTATAGTTAAAAAAAAAAAAATAAACAATTGGTTTTAACATTGACACATTCTCGCTCAATCACAACTAGAAAAAAAATTGCTTATTATACAGTCTTGATCATCGATTCAGTCTTTAGAGGCATCCACATCCGATAACAAGACGGCGCGAAGTTTTACATCAAAGTTGTTACACACCAACTCGCTGACATTCGCATTGCCCTTTAATATCGTGCATATTATGCCACAATCGATCCCTCAGATCCTTTACATCCAGAGAATGCGTAATAATTCAAATAATGTTTCACCTATCCAAAAGTTAAAAGTTATTACAAGTGGAAGAAATGGAAGATGTATGGATATTTATTTCGCTGCGGCATTTCTATTCACAACGCACGCTCGCTCGCGACCAATAGAATGGTCTCTCATATAATCGAATAATTTTATTATTGTTTATTTGGTAAGTCTACTTCCTTTAGTCTCCGTTGTTTCTAATCTGTTAGGATTGAAGTCTATTCGAAAGAGCGAGTTATGACTCGTTACAATTCGAGCAAACGTAAATCGAGACTGTAAATCGACGACGCGCATTCGCAGCGTTATGTCGACTATTCACGTTGATTCACGCGGATCGACTCATTAGCGATGCGTCTGCGCATAGATCCCGATCTCCGCCTCGAAGAGAATCTGATTGATCCTGAGTTTGGCGACCGACCTTGAGTACGAATCGCGGATCTCGGCGAGCTGTACGGCAATGCTCTCGCCGAACTTGGCAAATTCCTCCTTTGTTTTTTTTCGTTCTTTCTCGTGTGCCAGTGCGCCAGACTCGATCTTGACCCGTCCGGACTCGTCGAGATCGACCGGTGGACTGTCCTGACTCGGTAGAGAACCATTGTACAACTCCATTGCCTTTAAACTGGACGAGGAAGATTCCTCGGCGTCCTCAGCGTCCTCGCTCAATGAGACGTTGAAGGAACCGGTACCGGAGCCGTTCGTTTCCTCGTTGCAATCCATAAAGGTTATACTTTCTGGATCGATGTCGCTCACAATGTACTCTTCTTGCAGTTTAGGCTCTTGTTCAACTTTCTGTGAAAAGGGGATCAGGTTGGATCAAGAATTTTACCGCGTTCTAGTAACTGGCAACATTAGAAATCTGCTCTCTTTCTCTCTTTTGTCTCAGTCTTGTGTTAATTATTAATTACCTTGCCTAATATATATAATCGAATTGCGAGGGTACGAGTAGCGATTGTGCTCAATTCTGTCGCGTTCGCACGACTCGATCCCCCGATCTCACGCTTTGATCTCCAAGAGAGAGACGCGATTATGAGTGCGAGTGTGCGTATGAAGCTTTCACGCGCGCGTATTGATTTCCCCTCATAAAAAAACTTGAGAATCGCATCGCTATTACGCTGCAGCATAGAGCGCTTTTAAATAAAAATGCTCGTATCTTTCTTCTATTTATTTTGATTCATTGATAATGTACGATGATTTTCAATTCTTCTTTGAATACACAAATTATTTAAACATCGAAGATATTTATCTTTGTCATTTGTCAACGTGGCGTGTCAAAGTATCGCGCGTTATTATTAACCGCTCGTTCGTATGTGTGACGAATCGATAATCGAACGACGCGATTCCAGTGATCCACCAAATCCAATCACCAAAAGTTGGATCGAGTCGGACACGGACAGAGAGCGATTTAAATTTTTACTGAGAAGAGGTTCGATGACACATCTTCCACGCGTCGCCACGGGCCAACGAAATATTTATCCCGACCAGCGACGCGTCGCTATATACATACGTATGTACGTATGTGTATATATACATTACACACATACAAATATATGTGTGCACTAATCAATCGTCAATTCAATCACAAAGTATAATTACAGTCACTTATTTTCTAACGGTTCAAATATCAGATGATTTTTCAACATTTTCAAATGAAATTACACGAGCAAGTATCGATCAGTCGACTCGATGCAGTGTTGTAATGCAACATTACGTTCAACTAGTTTTTCATTTCCCTATTCGTATTTCACTTTATTAGTGTCGAAGAAATTTCACCCGCGAGATCATCAATGATATAAAAAAATATACATAATTGCGCGCCGAGCATATTTTTGTCAAAGAAAGATTTCATTCGTCGGTACAACAATATCGATTTTCACGTATCGACGCGATCACAGAGAGAGCGATATCGCTAGAGATCTCAAAAAATCCAGAACGGATGATGGAAAAGCGTGACTGTTGGAAATGAATTCCTTTCTTCCGCCTACCTTCTTCCGTTTGCTATATCTACGCGTGCCGAATTGTAGGAACTGCATCGCTTTGAAAGCGAACCACTTGGAGACATATACGTCGTCTGGACCGGTGGCGGCGTCGCGACTGTTCTGTATCTTGTGCACCTCCCGAGAATATTGGCACTTGAGATTAGTGATCTTCTTCTCAACCTCGAGAGTGTTACAGCAGAGAATTTCAGCGAGCTCCTGAATAGCTCGCTTGCGCTTTGCGCGATCCCGATAGCCCCGAGCATTCCAATCCCAGAGGACGCGTCGTTGTTGATACTCGCGCAACAGCTCCAGAGTCTTGTCGCGAGTCCACTCCATACCAACGCGTGTTCCGCTAGGACCGTTCAAGCGGTCCCAAAATCCGTGGCTGTACATGTAAGAGATGTTCTAGGACGGAAGATGTACGTACACTGGTTTAGACTTTAGGTGTCTCGCGTGTTTCCGAGCAGGAGCTGCGGGAGAACGCCAGCCAGCCCCCCGCCGCGCGCGCGCGCGCGCGCAAGCGAGCGAGCGGTGTGGCCGAAACGGCCGACTGTAGCGAGAACCGGTTACCCCTAACTCGTCCGTTAATAAATCACGAGGCAGAATCAACGCGACGTAAGCCGCAGCCGCGAAACGAGCACGCGTTTTAATGATTTTTGCGCGGGGCCCTCGCGCGCGCTTCGCCACCTTTCTTTCTTTATTTATTTCTCTCTTTACGGAATTTCTCTCTTTACCCCGGCGGGAGCACGAAGACGACCGAGTCTGCGCGAATGTTCGCCCGCCGCTTGCTATACCGCGCGTCCCACCATTCGCATCGCTATCCGAATCTGTTAATGTTGTTACCAGAGAGGGAGAGAGAAAAATTTTCCTCTCTTGTCATTGCACGCGATCGCTGATTTCACCATTTGCTCTGTCGATCTTGCCGATGCTGCTGATGTTCATGCTTTCCATGCTCATCAACAATGTCGTCGCATTACGCTCTCCTCTTCCTCTCTTCCACCTCTCGGAATCTTTTTTCTGTCAGATCTCAAACGTAGACACGGATTTGCATTAAAGCTAAATCAAACACAGGATCATTGTAATTCTATTCTATTTCTTCAAACTGTTACGAACGCGTTTCCTTTCAGCGATTCCATGATTCAAGAACCAACATAATTTCATAACTGTGTATCCATAATCGCAGTATCCATTCTTTCAAATATACATACATTGTACATTGTCGAGATGTGAATTTCCATCATCTCCATCCATTTTTGTCATTGGCTGCGAATAAAATGTTCTTGACGAAATCTTGCGAGACGACTTGTTTCCAGTTTTAAAATCTGTCCTCTCTTCTCTGTGCGCGCGCATACAGTCCTCTCTTTTGTCATCCGTTCGTTGTACCATTCGATTATCAATGTCTCTTTTCTTCTATCCGCTTCCCTCTTCTCTCTCTCTCTCTCTCTCTCGGTGCAGCAGGTACACGAAAGGTACGCGAGGATAGTTAAAATATGTGCAAGAGATCGATTGGAGTCAGCAACACTCCGGGAATAAAGGCGTGTGTTCGATCGAATGCATTTCTCTCGGTATCTGTTTCTTCCTTTCGTGAACGAGACGCTTTGTCTCGCATTAGACAAGGACATCTTGATTTTTGTTTGACAATTGACAAGAGTAAATAATTATATAAGCATCAATTTTTACGCACAAAATTTTAAATTACAGAATGAATTATATTTCATTCATTTTGAAGTATTTTAACTATCAAATGATAACAGAAAACTTGTACCAATAGAAGATCTAATGAGATAGGCCTAATGCTCTACAATTTGAAATTTCAACAGCTCAAATATCCATTTAGCACGTGCTATATATACAATATACGTGCATTAGGTACTCTTCTTCTTCAAGTATTGTCTAATTGATTTAAAATAACTCAAAAATCTAAAAATTACACAAGTCAGATAAAGTCTAGAAGAAGA